TTCCTTTGAGTCCACTGCTGCGTCTGCCCTAGTTACTGAGCTCGTCGACTTTGCTGCTCGCTGTCGTCTAGACTACGCTGCTAGTCTTGTTGCTGAGTCTGAGTCTGTCTGACCTCCGTCCGTCGGGGGTGAGTGTGCCCTTGGCACGGACGTCCTTGAGGACAGGCAGGAGGAGTTCCAGTGTTTGGCTGCTGCTTCACCTCATCTCGTGTCCGTACTGCTTACCCCTGAGGGAGACCCGGATGCACTTGACATCCCGACTCCGCGCTCTTACGCGGAGGCGATAGAGGGTCCCTACTCCTCTCAGTGGCAGGCAGCTATGGACGCAGAGATGGCTTCCTGGAAGTCCACAGGCACCTACGTTGACGAGGTTCCCCCGCCTGGGGCGAACATCGTCAGTGGCATGTGGATTTTCAGGGTGAAGCGGCCGCCGGGTTCTCCGCCTGTCTTCAAGGCGCGTTACGTGGCTCGTGGCTTCAGTCAGCGGTAGGGAGTTGACTACTTTCAGACCTTCTCTCCCACCCCGAAGATGACCACTCTTCGGGTACTGCTGCACATAGCTGCTCACCGCGACTACGAGCTGCACTCTCTTGACTTCAGCACTGCTTTCTTGCAGGGCAGCCTGCACGAGGAGATCTGGCTGCGTCGCCCACCTGGCTTCACTGGGTCCTTTCCTCCTGGCACCCAGTAGAGCCTCCGGCGGCCAGTCTACGGTCTCCGCCAGGCACCGCGTGAGTGGCACGACACACTGAGGACTACACTTGCGGCTCTTGGGTTTGCTCCCTCTACTGCCGACTCGTCGCTGTTTCTGCGCACCGACACTTCTTTGCCGCCGTTCTACATCCTCATGTACGTCGACGACTTGGTCTTCGCCACAGCTGACACTGCTGGACTCGCCCACGTGAAGTCCGAGCTGCAGAAGAGACACACGTGCACAGACCTGGGTGAACTGCGCAGCTACCTTGGCTTGCAGATCACCCGGGACAGAGCACGCCGCACCATTACCCTGACTCAGTCACACATGGTGCAGCAGGTCCTTCAGCGCTTCGGCTTCACGTACTCCTCGCCTCAGGCCACTCCTCTGCCTACTCGCCACTCGCTCTCAGCTCTGCCTTCGGATGAGTCCGTAGAGTCGAGTGGCCCGTACCCAGAGCTTGTTGGCTGCCTCATGTACCTGATGACCTGCACACGACCTGACCTTGCATACCCTCTTAGCATTCTTGCACGCTATGTTGCTCCTGGGAGACACAGACCGGAGCACATGGCTGCAGCGAAGAGGGTGTTGCGCTACTTGTGCAGTACGTCGGGCATGGGGCTTGTGCTTGGAGGGCAGAGTCCAGTGGTCCTCACTGGGCACGCAGACGCTTCTTGGGCTGACGACCAGGCTACGCAGCGGTCGTCACAGGGTTACACCTTCAGCCTTGGTTCCGGCTCTGTTTCGTGGCGGGCTACCCGCTCGTCTTCTGTTCTCGGCTCCAGTTGTGAGGCTGAGATCTACGCCGGGGCCATGGCTGCACAGGAGCTTCGCTGGCTCACCTACCTGCTGACTGACCTCGGAGAGCCGCCTCGTTCTCCTCCAGTGCTGTACGTAGACAACAAGGCCATGCTGGCCTTGTGTCGAGAGCAGAGACTGGAGCACAGAACGAAGCACATTGCTCTCCGCTACTTCCTTGCTCGTGAGCTACAGCAGCGTGGTCAGTTGCGGCTTGCGTACGTGGCCTCTGAGGCCAACACTGCTGATATCTTCACCAAGGCACTTCCGCCTTGTGATCATCAGCGCTTCTGTACTCAGCTGGGTCTTGTGCCTACCTTGCCTCACTTGCTCACCCCTTGACCTTGTTTGTACTGTTGCATATATATATACACCTGCTCTTGCTTGTCTAGCCTTATATATATATATATGCAATCCTGCATGTGAACTGGCCTTGTGGCCTTGAACTTGTGCTCGGAATGTGTGGTGACTTTGTGATCCACCCTGAGCTTGTTTTGCTTTGCTTGACTGGTCTTGTGACCCCTTGTTCTCCCCCACTTTGCCTATGGGGGTGTGTCAGATTTATATGACATAGCTACTGTAGGCTATAGTGGGGTAGCACATATGGGGTACAGTTTTCTAGGGTTTGCTTTTGTACCCAACTTTCCCTTAGTCATTCTCATTCCTCGTTTCTTCTCAGTGCCGTCTACCAGTCGTGCGTCGATCTCAGGTAAACATCTGTCCAGTGGCAGTCGCAGTTTTCGTGCTGTAGCAGTGTTGATGAGGCTGTGGCTAGCTCCCTCGTCTACGAAGATTTTAACTAAGTCCGTCCTGATTTTCCCACTAAGCAGTATGGGGCTGTCTACCGTAGTCCCCTCCTTATTCGGCCGAGTGTGGTCGATTGCGTGAACCGGCACAATCACTCGGTGAGGGTCGGTTGGGTCGGGCGAGCGGCGTGACCTGTAAGTAGAGGGCCCGTCTGCTACTGACTCCCAGCGTTTCCCTGCTGCTTGGTCTGTTTCTGCTGCTCAGCTTCCCCCTTTCCCTTAGCGTTTTCCGGGCATTCGCTCTTGCGATGTCCCAGCCGATTGCACGCAAAGCAGCGCCCTTTGAACGGTGCGGCAGCGGCATTTGCGTCGACGGCACGTATCGTGGCGCCCTCGTTCGTCCCACGAGGCCGATGTCCCCAATGGCTGCTTCCGTAGGACCCCGGTCTCGGTCGGCGGAAGAAATCAAGTTTCTCCGCCATAGCGAGAATTTCTTGAAAGTCGGTGACGCCGCGAAGCTGGATTTCCTGAGCGATGTCCTGCTTCAGGCCGCCGATGTAGCGGTCGATGCGCTCGCTCTCGTGCATATATCCCACCTGCTCGCATAGCGCCAGAAATCCGCTCGTGTAATCTTGGACGGAACCGAGTTGGCGCCAAGTGCGGAGCTTCTGTCGCGCCGCGATCGAAGCCGCGATTGGCTCGAAACGAGCGCGCAGACCTGCGCACCGCGCGTCCCACGTGCGATACTGGGGCACCTCCACGAAATACGACGGCGCCCAGGGTCCGGTTTGTCCTTCCCGTGTCGGTAGAGTCGCATAGTCCACCGGCTTCGTGACGATGACGCGCCACCAGTCCATGGCGGGTCCTCGCAGCAACGACACGGCGTAGCGAATCTTCGCCGTATCCTCCGAGACGTAGTTCGCGTCGAAGAAGACGTTCAACGTGAAGAGCCACGCCTGAACGCTAGGACCACCCCGCTGACTTGGGTCAAAGCATGGCGGACGCTGCGGCTTTAGCGCCATCGGCGACGGAAGAGTTGATTCCCCGGCCGGCACCGAAATCGTGACTCGAGGCTGAGTCCTGGCTGAGTCCTGGGTGTGTCGTGCCGTGGTCGTCGTCTCCGTCATGGCGGACGACGCCATCACTTGCGGCGCTCGCGGGTTGCCCCACACTTCCGTGCTGTGATGTCTGTGGTGCGGGCTGAATCGGAGTGCCAGGTGCTTGGGATTGTGCCCGTGTGAGGTCGTTTTGCAGGGACGAGCGTTCTGCCGTCAGCGTCGCGATTTCCTCGGCGCTCTCGCGGATTTGTCGCAGCAGATAGTTCAAGTGCTCCTGCGTGAGAGTCATGACGTCGATATGTTCAGCCATTTCGAAGGGCGTCGGCTCGTCTTAGTCTAGGCGCAGTCGTGGCTGCACGCGTTTACGAGAACGCGAGGACAGCGGCTCCTAGGTGCTAAGGTACGTGCGTCCCTTCGAGTGAAAAATCAAAAGTTGATTTCCTGGGGTGCGGAGATGCGCGGTCCGAAAGGAAAGAGGCTCTGAATACCAAGTGTTACGGGTGCAATGGATCGAAGTAGCGAGAATTGCACTAAGGTGTCAAACGAGTACAAAATGTGAGCGAAGGCATGAGCGAACATTTATACGCGAAACATGCAAACGGTAACGCGGTGCGTGCGAGCTAGCTAGTGCTACGCTGGAGCGAGGCTCGGGCTAGTTCCGAAACGTAGGCCGACACGGCCAGGCCAGCAGTGCGAGGTTTGGTGAAACAGTGCGCGCGAAGTCGGCGAAGCCCCGTTAGAAGTAACGGGCGAACAACGGCTGCTGCTGTACGCGATGTTGCAGGGTGCTCTAAGGAATATCAAGAAAATTCCTTGCATCCACCCAGATTTGAACCTTCACCTAACAAGGAATTTATGCTGCAATGCTGAGCTTTTGTAGAGCATACAATTCCGCCAGGTACATCCTTCTTTGGCCCACATACATCATCTTCTTCCGCTCCACTGTACATCAGAGGATAATGTGCATGCAATCAGCATCGAACAACAGTCACTAGCAGCAGCATCTACATAGCTTGCTCACCATCCTGTAACATATTACTTAAAGCTTAGCCATTGAAGACACTCCCTTTGGTGCTCCCTGCAAGATGCAGAAACCAGGCACATGATGATTCCAACCATACGTCACAAAAGTGCAGGCACAAGGCGAAGAAAAAGAGTAGGAAAGACTACAGGGAATAATTCCCATAAATGAATCCAACAATCCAGCAAATAGTATTCACTCACAAGCTTGACGCCTCGAGCTGCTCGCTCAAGCAAGTAGTTGCAGGGCTTGAAGAAACCTCCATAGGCCTGTGACCATGTGGTGAGGCGATCCGCAATGTACTTTGCCCCGACCAGATCAGCCCAGAAGACCAGGCCACCCCTGCAAGCCAGAAAGGGCAAAAACAATACGTAATGGAGGAAAAACAGGAATAACAAGGCTCAGCATGACAATGTATTGCTGAGCACTACTGAATTGAACTCAAACATTATTCCTACACACTCCTATTCCTGTAAGGAGTCCAGTCACTCACTGACCAGCCAGCAGGACGAGAAGCAACTACACCACGCACTCACCGGTAGGGAGGGAAGCCCATGGAATGACAGTAGCGATGTCCATATCCAATGCGCACACCACAATGCCCTCGTCCAGCACACGGCACATGAGTTCTTGGAAAGCAGATCACTCACCTTACGAGCAGGAAGGAAACAAGCACCACATACTCACCGGTAGGGGGGGAAGCCCATGGACATGACAGTGGCAATGTCGAGATCCGATGCTCGCACCACGATGCCCTCGTCCAGCACACGGCACGCCTCGTTCACCACGGGGAAGAATATCATCTCCACGATATCCCTGTCAGATACTGCCACGGGCTTGCCGCCCGGCTTGATGTTGTTGTACTTCCCTGCCTGCTCCACGAACTCCTTGATTGCCGGGTCCGGGCGCTGTCGCCTGTTGTTGTCGTACAGATAGAAGCCCTTGCCTGATTTCTCCCCTGCTCGGGCACGCACAACATGAAAGAGAGAAACAATATCAAGCCGGGAGATAGTGGCAACGACAAGCTGTCAGCGTCCAGAGAACAAGCAACCTGTGGCAGTGGCAACGGCAAAAGAATGCAGAAAGTGGAACCATGCATGGAGTCCTGAAGCCTGCGATAACGAAAGAAAAAAAAGGCTTGTGAACCAGGTATGCAGGGGGCCTTACCGAAGCGTTTGGCCTCAACGAGGAGGGGGATGAGTGCAGCCTTGTAGGCCCGCTCGGGGAACGCCGTGACGAACTGCGTCCCCACCGCCTGCCCCACTTGCATCCCCACCAAATCAGCCAGCCTGTGACAGCACACCATGCATGGGCCAAACGCCATAACCGGGAAAAAGAAGGTTCGGGCTGAGAATTGCCACAATATTCATGAGGATAGGGCTTGGGTGTAAGGCTTACCAATACTTGCAACAATATGGAAGGCATGATCACCTGAAGAGCCCCACGGGCATGCCGAAGGCCTTGATGACCTGGTCGATGAGCAGGCAGGCCGCCATGTTGTCGGGAAAGAAATCGTGATTGACAGCCTGATTGGTTGACAACCTTACCAGTTAGCGTTCCCCAAAGCCCAGCCTCACACCTATGGAGAACAGATTGCCCCATGGACAGTAATGTGGAATCACCTGAAGGGTCCCATGGGCATGCCGAAGGCCTTAATGACCCGGTCAATGCGATAGAGATCCAACCCCAGGTCCACGAGCATGCAGGCCGCCATGGTGTATGGGAAGAAGACGCGGTTGACCGCCTTATGGGTTACAGCCTTACAACTACGGAACACCAAGGGAGGAAGGGGCGGAATCACCTGAAGGGTCCCATGGGCATGCCGAAGGCCTTGATGACCCGGTCGATACGGTAGAGATCGACACCAAGATCCACGAGCAGGCAGGCGGCCATGGTGTAGGGGAAGAAGACTCGGTTGACAGCAAAGCCCGTGCAGTTGCCCACCACCACTGGCGTCTTCTTAATGGTCTTGCCCAGGGTGATGAGATCAAGGATGGCCTGAGGGGAGGTCTTATCAGTGCGGACCACCTCCAACAGCGGCATCACATGGGCAGGGCTGCGATGGTTAAAGGGGGCGTGGGGTGGGGGGGAGCAGGAGGGTGATGAGATCCAGGATGGCCTATGGGAGGTGTTGTCTGTGCGAACCACCTCCAGCAGCAGCATCACGTGGGCAGGGCTGCGACGGTGGGGAGGGGGGGGAAGGTCAAGAGAACATATATACTGGTTAGTGTTGCCCACTACGGGCGTCTTCTTGATGGTCTTGCCCAAGGTGATGAGGTCAAGGATGGCCTGTTAGGAGGTCTTTTCGGTGCGGACCACCTCCAACAGCGGCGGGCAGAGAGGGGGAAAGAACAGAAGAGCAAATAGAAGTTGGACGAAGAGAAAAAATTAGCAATATGAGTTGGACATGGGCAGCAGATGGGTAGGACTGGAGTGATCAACAGCAAGGGTGAAGTAACCGAATGTTTTGGGGGCGAGAGGGGGTTGCAAGAAACAACATAGTCACAGGCTTGGCACTGGCTGTGAGGCCTTATACCAGCCATGGGATCTGGACCAGAATCTGGCAGACATGCACCCCCCAGGTCGCCAACACCTACACACCCAAGTACCTGAACATCGTATAGACTCTCTGATCACATCACTCCTGAATACCTGAAGAAGTGTGCGCCGATGATGCGGTCCTGGGAGCGAGTCTTGGCTCCAACGACGTTGAGGTCGATGGTTGACGTGTTGGACGAGAGGATGCACGCAGGCTTGCACACCCTCTCCAGGTCCTGGAAGATCTGCTGCTTCAAAGGGATGCTCTCAATCACAGCCTGCATAACAGAAAGATGCAAGTGAGAAGATAATATTGCATTTAATCCTTTAGCTTCAGATGTCAACTGCCGTTTACTTCTAGGGATTGTTGTGCAGCAGATATGTTTTTTTGGATGGCGTTAGCTCTTCCCTGTCTCACCTCAATGACCAGATCCACGTCAGCGAAGTCGTCGTAGGAGAGCGTGCCCTTGAGTAGCGACAGAATCTTATCCACCTGCTCCTGTGTCATCCTCCCTTTCTTTAGCCTGCCTTGGAAATTTGCTGCCACCAAACAAGAGAAAAAAAAAGAGGATATCATTACCTCCAAACAAGGCCGATTCTGATGCAACCAGCACTCATCAGATAATCGAGACAAGTGGAAGTAGGAAGACATGAATATGCTCACCCTTGACACGGTCCAGCCCTTGCTGGAGAAACTGGGCATTGACCTCCTTGAGAATGACTTGAATCTTAGCCGTGATGAGCGCGGTGACGATCCCAGAACCCATCAACCCCCCTCCAATCACTGCCACCTTGCGGAGGGGCCGAGGCTTCAAACCCCGATCTGTGACTCCAGGGATCTGAAAACACAGCAGATTCGTTAACATGTCATCCAGCTTCCTTCAATTTCTGATGCTTTGGCTGGTGCCATAAAGGGTTTCAGTGAGGAGGATTCAATTACTGCGATCTAAGGCTTCCAAAGCAATGTACCTTAGTTGTTTGCCTCTGGGCGAAGAAGATATGTGTCAGGGACTTGGCCGTGTCAGCAAGCACAAGTTCCAAAAACACCTCCTCTTCCTGCAACAGGCACAAAACAACAGCTTCAGCTTTCTAGATACTCACATTCTATACAATGGTGAGGTGGCAGCCACACATGAAGTTTTCTTGTCCTCCATCCAAAACTCACCTTGAGATTGCCGGCGTACCCCCCATGGGTGACGCCATACTCCATGGCGTCCAAGCACCGCGACGGATGAGTGAGGTTAGGAGCCGTCTGAATCGCCTGAACCCTTGCGAACTTGAAGATGGCTCGAGCCTCGCCCAGGCTCTCAATCCTGTCGTTCCTCTCCAGCGTCTTCAGCCATGGTTTCCTGCCGCTGGCAATATCCAGGGCCCACGCCTTGGCGGTGGTTAGCAGGGCATTGCTAGGAACAATTTGATCAACGAGACCAGCCTTGAGTCCCGCTTCAGATGTGATAGGCTTGGACATCTGGGACCAAAGGGGGAACAAGACAATATTAGAAATGATAAGTAGCATGAGGTTTCATATTCTGCAGGAAAATGCCTAAGAAACTCACCAGGATCATTTCAATCGCCTTCTGTAGGCCAACCAGGCGAGGCAAACGCTGAGTGCCTGGACACAACCAGCAGAACACGACCAGCACAAGAAAACACAATGTTGGAAAAAAAAAAGTTTCTTACGACCAGGGCTTGCAAAACAAGAAATCCAGCAACACCACCAACACCAGAAGCATACGAAATGATGGCTCAGCATAGGCTGATCATTGCACACATGGATGATGCCAGTACCTCCGAATCCAGGAATGATGCCGAGCTGCAGCTCTGGAAGCCCCAGCTGGGCCTTGGGTGCAGCGATTCTTGCATGGCATGACTGGCATTGGAAAAAAAAGAAAGGGAACAATCAAAACCAACTATGATCTTCAGAGTGTGTACTTGCGTACTTGCGTGAGAATGTTATTGCGTGTTTTACAAGGTTATACGAGCTAGAGCGGTGACGTACGTACCAGAGCAAGCTCCAAGCCACCGCCTAGAGCAAGACCCTCAACGGCCGCCACGACTGGCTTTGAACCACCTGCATAAGAAGCACTGAGATGTGTGAGTATTCGTAATTATGACACATTCTATTCCACATTGAAAAGAAACGTTGAGAGCTGCATACCTTCAATGGTCTCCACGAAGAGTGGGACTGACGGCCTGACCATCGAGTCCATGTTCCCTGTAACAAGGACAACCAGCACAAGAAAACACAGGAAAGAGTCACAGACCAACTCGAATCGCGAGAAGAATCGCGAGAGTTCTATCGCGCGAGTAGCACGAAGAGACAATGATCAGTACCATTTTCCTGGACTGCAACAATCGCCGAGATATCGAAGCCTCCTGAGAACTTGCCATTTGTCCCTGAAACAGCAGCCACAGAAAAGAACCAGAGTGAGCTACATCCGGACAAACAAGTTATGCTAAACTAGTTTCGACAAGAAAAGAAGGAAGTGCGGGAGGGGTTTATTTGCAATTTACCGATCACGACAATGGCTTTCACGTCGTTCCTCCGGTGCGCCTCGTCGAACGACACCTTCAAACCGAGTAGGACTGCAGACAAACTCAATAGGTTAGAATACTGAAGACGAATCGCGAATGCTTGATAATAAACACCACGATCCTGGTTCAAAGAATCAATAATACCTTCTGGTGCGAGAGCATTGACAGGAGGGTTGTGGATTTCAATAACAGCCACTCCATCCGAGCCCACGGTGAGCTTAACCTTTGGCGTCGCCATTACGAGCGGTCCGATGCGCACTCGCAACTTTTGATCAAGATAAAAACGCCTAGAAAACCTCGTGTGTGTGGGCGAAAGCAGCTGCTAAAGCTGAGAAATTCTAACGGGAAACGGATGCTGGGAATGAGGGTGAAGCAAATGCTTGATGACAGGAGTAGGCAAGAATATTTGCTCCGTGATGTTGGCGGTTTCATTTCCACGTCAGGTAGGGCTGCTGTGTCCCAAGGACATGTCAGTGTGGTCCGTGCTGACGTGGGGAGAAAACAAGCTGACAGAACTGGTCCCATTGTTTGCCCAACCAATCCCACCGACATTGAAGACGAAAGAAACATATTTACGACGCAGCCAATTCTTCTACAAATTGCTATAGCGCCACAGAGAAGTTCCCCATAAAGCGTACACAAACTTCTAGACACGTGGCACGAATGTTGCTTCACAATTCCTCCTTCAAGCCGCGCGCAACTAAAATCGAGGGACATGCGGCGCGCTGCTTCCTTGGCCCCCCTACTCCAATCAATCTGTCGAACCCCACAGAAACTCCAATTTACAGGAATCAAGCTCGGAGGTAAGCACAAAAAAAGCACAAGGTCCGTTTTTCGCAACCTCGAAGTTTCAAAAACAAGCAGGACTTTTTAGAGGACTTGGTTCACGCAGCCACTCGCCAACACCAAGGTCACGTCATCATCCATTTTGACATTATTGAATTAGGGAGGCAGTTTTTTTCGCTCTCAACTTCTGGACTCGGAGCAACAATTTTCTCATAGCCCTATCGATCTGGGGCTGCCGCCGTATACTAAAAGGAAAGTAGGGGAGCATCTGTTTGACTCGGTATTTAATATCGAGCCAACGAGGTGGGCTTAAGTGGGAAGAATACGGAGGCTAGCCGATCAAGCCAGATGGGAAACAGCGTGAGAAGGGAGGGAAGGTTAAGCAGTGTGAGCGAGGAGGGCAGGGCAGGGTTACCAGGTTACTGCATAACAGCACGGTGCTGAAGAGAGTGGAAGCGGAGCAAGGCGGTGGGCGGCACAATGGGCGGCACAGTGGGCGGCACAGTGGGCGGCACAGTGGGCGGCAGCAGCAGAAGGAGATGGAAGGGGGAGGAGAGCAGGAAGTGGTGGGAGAAGGGGAGGGGGAAGGAGAGGGGGAAATAAAAGGGGAAGGAGGGGCTGAGGAAGAAGCGGAGTGGTGCATGGGGAAGAATGCCGCAGAGGCAGAGAATAAACCAATGAGGAAGGATAAACCTTCTGGTTCCGCTGGTTCTGCTAGCAAAGTTGGCGATACGCATGAGGAGAAGGGACAGGAATCTGCTGCGGAAGAGTCTGGGGCGGCTGGAACTGGGGAGGAGGCTGCAGGAGGGAGTGGGAGGAAGAATGCGCGGAAGGGTGGGGGTATTGGGGGGAGGACGAGGGGGCGTGGGGCGAAGGGAGAGGGAAAGAGTGAGGGGAGTGGGGTTAAGGTAGGGGGGAGTGAGGCAAGTAGGGGAAGCAGAAGGAGGGCAGTGGGGGGGAGTAAAGGAGGAGAGGTAGGAGGGGAAGGAGGAGGCGAGTTGGGAGGGGAAGGGGGAGGAAACATGGGAGGGAAAGGAGTAGGAAATGGAGCAGGAGGAGAGGAGAGTGACCAAGTGGGAAGAGAGGAGAGGGAAGGGTTGGGGGAGAGCGAAGGCATGGGGGGAGGAGAGGAGAGCGAAGAGAGCGAGGGCATGGGTGAAGGAGAGGAGAGCGAAAAGAGCGAGGGCATGACAGGGGAGGCGGGAGGGAGGAGAGGGGGGAGGAGGCGGAACGCAGGAGGGAGGAGGAGGCGGAACGCGTACATTGCAGAGCTTGTGGAGGCGGAGAGGAGAGAGGGGATGCACATGGGAGAGGACGAGTATGAGGACTTGGATGGGTTTATTGTGTTTGAGAAGGACAAGTACGAGCGCGGCGAGTATGTGTCTGCTGTTGCTGTGGCGTGGCGAGAGGCTGCTGAAGGCTGGAGGCACGCTGGAGAAGAGTTGATCCCGAAGATGAATAGTGAAAGAAGGGGGTGAGGGGTGGGGCGCGGAGGAGGGGGGAAGGACATGAGTGGGGATGGGTAAGAGGACCTGGACGGTTGGGTTATGTTGCACGGGGAACTAGTGAGTCGACTCAAAAGGGTGGGGAGCGGAGGAAGGGAACAACATGAGAGGGGATGAGTAAGAGGACCTGGACGGATGGGTTATGTTGCACGGGGGACTAGTGGTGACTCTGATCTCCTTCTTTCCCTTCCTCTGACGGAAGGAATCCTTCTCTCTCTCCTCTCCCTCCTTCCCCTTTACTTGCCTTCCCTCAACTACCTATTTTTATCGAATATCCTTAGTGTATGGTGTCTCTAGTGTTTAGATGCTGATGTTGACAAACCGGCACAGTAGCCAAGTGTAGTCCGGTCCAGAATGATTTGTTGACCATGTATTGGTTCTGAACAAGTTGGATTGATTCTCCTTTGCTGTTATCCACATGTGATTTGACATGGCAGTTGTATCCAGAACAGTGTAAAGCGGACAAAATAAAGAACACCTCGTTTATGTGTCATATGGTATGATATGTTGGAAATATAAAGCAACAGAAAAGTTCTATGCTGTCAGGTTTTAGTGTAATCCTCTATATAAGCCTCTAGGCTCTACAATAATTATACAATTATTGTAGGGGCTGCATTATTGGTCTCCTTGGGGGTAGAATTATTGGTACTCCTTTATTGGAGCTGCCATTATTGGAGGTACAATTATTGGTGGGGATGGCTAAACTTTGGCAGGGTAGCTGCATGGATAAATACCCTGCTGTGTGCTTTCATTATCAATCCAATCCATTGTTCTGAATCCATTCAGTTGCAAGGTTCTCTAGCTATTCTATTTCACAATCAAGGCTTCCGCTACGCTGGCACTATGCCTTTCTAGCATGGTATCAGAGCAACTCTAGGGGGCATGCTGCTAGAATTTGGACAGAAACCTGTTACAATCCATATTGGGCAGGCACAATAGCATATTGTCATAGCAAGAGGCAACGATTGGATCAAGGAAATGGCGCGGTTCGACGATTGAAGAAGCAATCTTGGCTCAACATGAGCACCTGGAGAACATGATTGCAAGGGCGCCGCCAACACTTCAAGCATCATTGAGAGCGAAGTTAAACATGCAAATTGGTGAAGAGAGTGGCAGATTTAATAAAGTGGGCGTGGAAAGTGTGAGATTGGAATCTTACACTATTGGTGCTCCCCCACTTCAACGTTTTGCCACTAACTCTTATTCCATTGGAGCCCCCGTAATGGACAGATCTCACCTTCTTGAAGTCAGCAACATACCTCCTCGTGCGCCTCGTCCACTAATGGGGGTGGATCCTGTATGGAGCGTGGAGCACACGGGACATGGGATGCAGTCAAATGGTGTTTTGCGACGTGATCGCGTGGATATGGTGGAACATCACTCCTACGGTCAAGACGATGAAACGCAACGCATGGCTGATCAAGGGCGCAAAGGCTCGCATACAAAAGAGAGTACCGGGACCAAGAATGCTGCAACTTCAAGCGGAGGGCAGCAAGCGACTAAGGGAGAGAAAATGAATGGCAATGTTGGAAAGGGCGGACGCTCATCTCTCATATGCTGGTTTTGCTGGTTGTGCTGAACGCTAGGACCACCCCGCTGACTTGGGTCAAAGCATGGCGGACGCTGCGGCTTTAGCGCCATCGGCGACGGAAGAGTTGATTCCCCGGCCGGCACCGAAATCGTGACTCGAGGCTGAGTCCTGGCCGCATTCGTCGCGTCGGGGTGTGTCGTGCCGTGGTCGTCGTCTCCGTCATGGCGGACGACGCCATCACTTGCGGCGCTCGCGGGTTGCCCCACACTTCCGTGCTGTGATGTCTGTGGTGCGGGCTGAATCGGAGTGCCAGGTGCTTGGGATTGTGCCCGTGTGAGGTCGTTTTGCAGGGACGAGCGTTCTGCCGTCAGCGTCGCGATTTCCTCGGCGCTCTCGCGGATTTGTCGCAGCAGATAGTTCAAGTGCTCCTGCGTGAGAGTCATGACGTCGATATGTTCAGCCATTTCGAAGGGCGTCGGCTCGTCTTAGTCTAGGCGCAGTCGTGGCTGCACGCGTTTACGAGAGAACGCGAGGACAGCGGCTCCTAGGTGCTAAGGTACGTGCGTCCCTTCGAGTGAAAAATCAAAAGTTGATTTCCTGGGGTGCGGAGATGCGCGGTCCGAAAGGAAAGAGGCTCTGAATACCAAGTGTTACGGGTGCAATGGATCGAAGTAGCGAGAATTGCACTAAGGTGTCAAACGAGTACAAAATGTGAGCGAAGGCATGAGCGAACATTTATACGCGAAACATGCAAACGGTAACGCGGTGCGTGCGAGCTAGCTAGTGCTACGCTGGAGCGAGGCTCGGGCTAGTTCCGAAACGTAGGCCGACACGGCCAGGCCAGCAGTGCGAGGTTTGGTGAAACAGTGCGCGCGAAGTCGGCGAAGCCCCGTTAGAAGTAACGGGCGAACAACGGCTGCTGCTGTACGCGATGTTGCAGGGTGCTCTAAGGAATATCAAGAAAATTCCTTGCATCCACCCAGATTTGAACCTTCACCTAACAAGGAATTTATGCTGCAATGCTGAGCTTTTGTAGAGCATACAATTCCGCCAGGTACATCCTTCTTTGGCCCACATACATCATCTTCTTCCGCTCCACTGTACATCAGAGGATAATGTGCATGCAATCAGCATCGAACAACAGTCACTAGCAGCAGCATCTACATAGCTTGCTCACCATCCTGTAACATATTACTTAAAGCTTAGCCATTGAAGACACTCCCTTTGGTGCTCCCTGCAAGATGCAGAAACCAGGCACATGATGATTCCAACCATACGTCACAAAAGTGCAGGCACAAGGCGAAGAAAAAGAGTAGGAAAGACTACAGGGAATAATTCCCATAAATGAATCCAACAATCCAGCAAATAGTATTCACTCACAAGCTTGACGCCTCGAGCTGCTCGCTCAAGCAAGTAGTTGCAGGGCTTGAAGAAACCTCCATAGGCCTGTGACCATGTGGTGAGGCGATCCGCAATGTACTTTGCCCCGACCAGATCAGCCCAGAAGACCAGGCCACCCCTGCAAGCCAGAAAGGGCAAAAACAATACGTAATGGAGGAAAAACAGGAATAACAAGGCTCAGCATGACAATGTATTGCTGAGCACTACTGAATTGAACTCAAACATTATTCCTACACACTCCTATTCCTGTAAGGAGTCCAGTCACTCACTGACCAGCCAGCAGGACGAGAAGCAACTACACCACGCACTCACCGGTAGGGAGGGAAGCCCATGGAATGACAGTAGCGATGTCCATATCCAATGCGCACACCACAATGCCCTCGTCCAGCACACGGCACATGAGTTCTTGGAAAGCAGATCACTCACCTTACGAGCAGGAAGGAAACAAGCACCACATACTCACCGGTAGGGGGGGAAGCCCATGGACATGACAGTGGCAATGTCGAGATCCGATGCTCGCACCACGATGCCCTCGTCCAGCACACGGCACGCCTCGTTCACCACGGGGAAGAATATCATCTCCACGATATCCCTGTCAGATACTGCCACGGGCTTGCCGCCCGGCTTGATGTTGTTGTACTTCCCTGCCTGCTCCACGAACTCCTTGATTGCCGGGTCCGGGCGCTGTCGCCTGTTGTTGTCGTACAGATAGAAGCCCTTGCCTGATTTCTCCCCTGCTCGGGCACGCACAACATGAAAGAGAGAAACAATATCAAGCCGGGAGATAGTGGCAACGACAAGCTGTCAGCGTCCAGAGAACAAGCAACCTGTGGCAGTGGCAACGGCAAAAGAATGCAGAAAGTGGAACCATGCATGGAGTCCTGAAGCCTGCGATAACGAAAGAAAAAAAAGGCTTGTGAACCAGGTATGCAGGGGGCCTTACCGAAGCGTTTGGCCTCAACGAGGAGGGGGATGAGTGCAGCCTTGTAGGCCCGCTCGGGGAACGCCGTGACGAACTGCGTCCCCACCGCCTGCCCCACTTGCATCCCCACCAAATCAGCCAGCCTGTGACAGCACACCATGCATGGGCCAAACGCCATAACCGGGAAAAAGAAGGTTCGGGCTGAGAATTGCCACAATATTCATGAGGATAGGGCTTGGGTGTAAGGCTTACCAATACTTGCAACAATATGGAAGGCATGATCACCTGAAGAGCCCCACGGGCATGCCGAAGGCCTTGATGACCTGGTCGATGAGCAGGCAGGCCGCCATGTTGTCGGGAAAGAAATCGTGATTGACAGCCTGATTGGTTGACAACCTTACCAGTTAGCGTTCCCCAAAGCCCAGCCTCACACCTATGGAGAACAGATTGCCCCATGGACAGTAATGTGGAATCACCTGAAGGGTCCCATGGGCATGCCGAAGGCCTTAATGACCCGGTCAATGCGATAGAGATCCAACCCCAGGTCCACGAGCACGCAGGCCGCCATGGTGTATGGGAAGAAGACGCGGTTGACCGCCTTATGGGTTACAGCCTTACAACTACGGAACACCAAGGGAGGAAGGGGCGGAATCACCTGAAGGGTCCCATGGGCATGCCGAAGGCCTTGATGACCCGGTCGATACGGTAGAGATCGACACCAAGATCCACGAGCAGGCAGGCGGCCATGGTGTAGGGGAAGAAGACTCGGTTGACAGCAAAGCCCGTGCAGTTGCCCACCACCACTGGCGTCTTCTTAATGGTCTTGCCCAGGGTGATGAGATCAAGGATGGCCTGAGGGGAGGTCTTATCAGTGCGGACCACCTCCAACAGCGGCATCACATGGGCAGGGCTGCGATGGTTAAAGGGGGCGTGGGGTGGGGGGGAGCAGGAGGGTGATGAGATCCAGGATGGCCTATGGGAGGTGTTGTCTGTGCGAACCACCTCCAGCAGCAGCATCACGTGGGCAGGGCTGCGACGGTGGGGAGGGGGGGGAAGGTCAAGAGAACATATATACTGGTTAGTGTTGCCCACTACGGGCGTCTTCTTGATGGTCTTGCCCAAGGTGATGAGGTCAAGGATGGCCTGTTAGGAGGTCTTTTCGGTGCGGACCACCTCCAACAGCGGCGGGCAGAGAGGGGGAAAGAACAGAAGAGCAAATAGAAGTTGGACGAAGAGAAAAAATTAGCAATATGAGTTGGACATGGGCAGCAGATGGGTAGGACTGGAGTGATCAACAGCAAGGGTGAAGTAACCGAATGTTTTGGGGGCGAGAGGGGGTTGCAAGAAACAACATAGTCACAGGCTTGGCACTGGCTGTGAGGCCTTATACCAGCCATGGGATCTGGACCAGAATCTGGCAGACATGCACCCCCCAGGTCGCCAACACCTACACACCCAAGTACCTGAACATCGTATAGACTCTCTGATCACATCACTCCTGAATACCTGAAGAAGTGTGCGCCGATGATGCGGTCCTGGGAGCGAGTCTTGGCTCCAACGACGTTGAGGTCGATGGTTGACGTGTTGGACGAGAGGATGCACGCAGGCTTGCACACCCTCTCCAGGTCCTGGAAGATCTGCTGCTTCAAAGGGATGCTCTCAATCACAGCCTGCATAACAGAAAGATGCAAGTGAGAAGATAATATTGCATTTAATCCTTTAGCTTCAGATGTCAACTGCCGTTTACTTCTAGGGATTGTTGTGCAGCAGATATGTTTTTTTGGATGGCGTTAGCTCTTCCCTGTCTCACCTCAATGACCAGATCCACGTCAGCGAAGTCGTCGTAGGAGAGCGTGCCCTTGAGTAGCGACAGAATCTTATCCACCTGCTCCTGTGTCATCCTCCCTTTCTTTAGCCTGCCTTGGAAATTTGCTGCCACCAAACAAGAGAAAAAAAAAGAGGATATCATTACCTCCAAACAAGGCCGATTCTGATGCAACCAGCACTCATCAGATAATCGAGACAAGTGGAAGTAGGAAGACATGAATATGCTCACCCTTGACACGGTCCAGCCCTTGCTGGAGAAACTGGGCATTGACCTCCTTGAGAATGACTTGAATCTTAGCCGTGATGAGCGCGGTGACGATCCCAGAACCCATCAACCCCCCTCCAATCACTGCCACCTTGCGGAGGGGCCGAGGCTTCAAACCCCGATCTGTGACTCCAGGGATCTGAAAACACAGCAGATTCGTTAACATGTCATCCAGCTTCCTTCAATTTCTGATGCTTTGGCTGGTGCCATAAAGGGTTTCAGTGAGGAGGATTCAATTACTGCGATCTAAGGCTTCCAAAGCAATGTACCTTAGTTGTTTGCCTCTGGGCGAAGAAGATATGTGTCAGGGACTTGGCCGTGTCAGCAAGCACAAGTTCCAAAAACACCTCCTCTTCCTGCAACAGGCACAAAACAACAGCTTCAGCTTTCTAGATACTCACATTCTATACAATGGTGAGGTGGCAGCCACACATGAAGTTTTCTTGTCCTCCATCCAAAACTCACCTTGAGATTGCCGGCGTACCCCCCATGGGTGACGCCATACTCCATGGCGTCCAAGCACCGCGACGGATGAGTGAGGTTAGGAGCCGTCTGAATCGCCTGAACCCTTGCGAACTTGAAGATGGCTCGAGCCTCGCCCAGGCTCTCAATCCTGTCGTTCCTCTCCAGCGTCTTCAGCCATGGTTTCCTGCCGCTGGCAATATCCAGGGCCCACGCCTTGGCGGTGGTTAGCAGGGCATTGCTAGGAACAATTTGATCAACGAGACCAGCCTTGAGTCCCGCTTCAGATGTGATAGGCTTGGACATCTGGGACCAAAGGGGGAACAAGACAATATTAGAAATGATAAGTAGCATGAGGTTTCATATTCTGCAGGAAAATGCCTAAGAAACTCACCAGGATCATTTCAATCGCCTTCTGTAGGCCAACCAGGCGAGGCAAACGCTGAGTGCCTGGACACAACCAGCAGAACACGACCAGCACAAGAAAACACAATGTTGGAAAAAAAAAAGTTTCTTACGACCAGGGCTTGCAAAACAAGAAATCCAGCAACACCACCAACACCAGAAGCATACGAAATGATGGCTCAGCATAGGCTGATCATTGCACACATGGATGATGCCAGTACCTCCGAATCCAGGAATGATGCCGAGCTGCAGCTCTGGAAGCCCCAGCTGGGCCTTGGGTGCAGCGATTCTTGCATGGCATGACTGGCATTGGAAAAAAAAGAAAGGGAACAATCAAAACCAACTATGATCTTCAGAGTGTGTACTTGCGTACTTGCGTGAGAATGTTATTGCGTGTTTTACAAGGTTATACGAGCTAGAGCGGTGACGTACGTACCAGAGCAAGCTCCAAGCCACCGCCTAGAGCAAGACCCTCAACGGCCGCCACGACTGGCTTTGAACCACCTGCATAAGAAGCACTGAGATGTGTGAGTATTCGTAATTATGACACATTCTATTCCACATTGAAAAGAAACGTTGAGAGCTGCATACCTTCAATGGTCTCCACGAAGAGTGGGACTGACGGCCTGACCATCGAGTCCATGTTCCCTGTAACAAGGACAACCAGCACAAGAAAACACAGGAAAGAGTCACAGACCAACTCGAATCGCGAGAAGAATCGCGAGAGTTCTATCGCGCGAGTAGCACGAAGAGACAATGATCAGTACCATTTTCCTGGACTGCAACAATCGCCGAGATATCGAAGCCTCCTGAGAACTTGCCATTTGTCCCTGAAACAGCAGCCACAGAAAAGAACCAGAGTGAGCTACATCCGGACAAACAAGTTATGCTAAACTAGTTTCGACAAGAAAAGAAGGAAGTGCGGGAGGGGTTTATTTGCAATTTACCGATCACGACAATGGCTTTCACGTCGTTCCTCCGGTGCGCCTCGTCGAACGACACCTTCAAACCGAGTAGGACTGCAGACAAACTCAATAGGTTAGAATACTGAAGACGAATCGCGAATGCTTGATAATAAACACCACGATCCTGGTTCAAAGAATCAATAATACCTTCTGGTGCGAGAGCATTGACAGGAGGGTTGTGGATTTCAATAACAGCCACTCCATCCGAGCCCACGGTGAGCTTAACCTTTGGCGTCGCCATTACGAGCGGTCCGATGCGCACTCGCAACTTTTGATCAAGATAAAAACGCCTAGAAAACCTCGTGTGTGTGGGCGAAAGCAGCTGCTAAAGCTGAGAAATTCTAACGGGAAACGGATGCTGGGAATGAGGGTGAAGCAAATGCTTGATGACAGGAGTAGGCAAGAATATTTGCTCCGTGATGTTGGCGGTTTCATTTCCACGTCAGGTAGGGCTGCTGTGTCCCAAGGACATGTCAGTGTGGTCCGTGCTGACGTGGGGAGAAAACAAGCTGACAGAACTGGTCCCATTGTTTGCCCAACCAATCCCACCGACATTGAAGACGAAAGAAACATATTTACGACGCAGCCAATTCTTCTACAAATTGCTATAGCGCCACAGAGAAGTTCCCCATAAAGCGTACACAAACTTCTAGACACGTGGCACGAATGTTGCTTCACAATTCCTCCTTCAAGCCGCGCGCAACTAAAATCGAGGGACATGCGGCGCGCTGCTTCCTTGGCCCCCCTACTCCAATCAATCTGTCGAACCCCACAGAAACTCCAATTTACAGGAATCAAGCTCGGAGGTAAGCACAAAAAAAGCACAAGGTCCGTTTTTCGCAACCTCGAAGTTTCAAAAACAAGCAGGACTTTTTAGAGGACTTGGTTCACGCAGCCACTCGCCAACACCAAGGTCACGTCATCATCCATTTTGACATTATTGAATTAGGGAGGCAGTTTTTTTCGCTCTCAACTTCTGGACTCGGAGCAACAATTTTCTCATAGCCCTATCGATCTGGGGCTGCCGCCGTATACTAAAAGGAAAGTAGGGGAGCATCTGTTTGACTCGGTATTTAATATCGAGCCAACGAGGTGGGCTTAAGTGGGAAGAATACGGAGGCTAGCCGATCAAGCCAGATGGGAAACAGCGTGAGAAGGGAGGGAAGGTTAAGCAGTGTGAGCGAGGAGGGCAGGGCAGGGTTACCAGGTTACTGCATAACAGCACGGTGCTGAAGAGAGTGGAAGCGGAGCAAGGCGGTGGGCGGCACAATGGGCGGCACAGTGGGCGGCACAGTGGGCGGCACAGTGGGCGGCAGCAGCAGAAGGAGATGGAAGGGGGAGGAGAGCAGGAAGTGGTGGGAGAAGGGGAGGGGGAAGGAGAGGGGGAAATAAAAGGGGAAGGAGGGGCTGAGGAAGAAGCGGAGTGGTGCATGGGGAAGAATGCCGCAGAGGCAGAGAATAAACCAATGAGGAAGGATAAACCTTCTGGTTCCGCTGGTTCTGCTAGCAAAGTTGGCGATACGCATGAGGAGAAGGGACAGGAATCTGCTGCGGAAGAGTCTGGGGCGGCTGGAACTGGGGAGGAGGCTGCAGGAGGGAGTGGGAGGAAGAATGCGCGGAAGGGTGGGGGTATTGGGGGGAGGACGAGGGGGCGTGGGGCGAAGGGAGAGGGAAAGAGTGAGGGGAGTGGGGTTAAGGTAGGGGGGAGTGGGGCAAGTAGGGGAAGCAGAAGGAGGGCAGTGGGGGGGAGTAAAGGAGGAGAGGTAGGAGGGGAAGGAGGAGGCGAGTTGGGAGGGGAAGGGGGAGGAAACATGGGAGGGAAAGGAGTAGGAAATGGAGCAGGAGGAGAGGAGAGTGACCAAGTGGGAAGAGAGGAGAGGGAAGGGTTGGGGGAGAGCGAAGGCATGGGGGGAGGAGAGGAGAGCGAAGAGAGCGAGGGCATGGGTGAAGGAGAGGAGAGCGAAAAGAGCGAGGGCATGACAGGGGAGGCGGGAGGGAGGAGAGGGGGGAGGAGGCGGAACGCAGGAGGGAGGAGGAGGCGGAACGCGTACATTGCAGAGCTTGTGGAGGCGGAGAGGAGAGAGGGGATGCACATGGGAGAGGACGAGTATGAGGACTTGGATGGGTTTATTGTGTTTGAGAAGGACAAGTACGAGCGCGGCGAGTATGTGTCTGCTGTTGCTGTGGCGTGGCGAGAGGCTGCTGAAGGCTGGAGGCACGCTGGAGAAGAGTTGATCCCGAAGATGAATAGTGAAAGAAGGGGGTGAGGGGTGGGGCGCGGAGGAGGGGGGAAGGACATGAGTGGGGATGGGTAAGAGGACCTGGACGGTTGGGTTATGTTGCACGGGGAACTAGTGAGTCGACTCAAAAGGGTGGGGAGCGGAGGAAGGGAACAACATGAGAGGGGATGAGTAAGAGGACCTGGACGGATGGGTTATGTTGCACGGGGGACTAGTGGTGACTCTGATCTCCTTCTTTCCCTTCCTCTGACGGAAGGAATCCTTCTCTCTCTCCTCTCCCTCCTTCCCCTTTACTTGCCTTCCCTCAACTACCTATTTTTATCGAATATCCTTAGTGTATGGTGTCTCTAGTGTTTAGATGCTGATGTTGACAAACCGGCACAGTAGCCAAGTGTAGTCCGGTCCAGAATGATTTGTTGACCATGTATTGGTTCTGAACAAGTTGGATTGATTCTCCTTTGCTGTTATCCACATGTGATTTGACATGGCAGTTGTATCCAGAACAGTGTAAAGCGGACAAAATAAAGAACACCTCGTTTATGTGTCATATGGTATGATATGTTGGAAATATAAAGCAACAGAAAAGTTCTATGCTGTCAGGTTTTAGTGTAATCCTCTATATAAGCCTCTAGGCTCTACAATAATTATACAATTATTGTAGGGGCTGCATTATTGGTCTCCTTGGGGGTAGAATTATTGGTACTCCTTTATTGGAGCTGCCATTATTGGAGGTACAATTATTGGTGGGGATGGCTAAACTTTGGCAGGGTAGCTGCATGGATAAATACCCTGCTGTGTGCTTTCATTATCAATCCAATCCATTGTTCTGAATCCATTCAGTTGCAAGGTTCTCTAGCTATTCTATTTCACAATCAAGGCTTCCGCTACGCTGGCACTATGCCTTTCTAGCATGGTATCAGAGCAACTCTAGGGGGCATGCTGCCAGAATTTGGACAGAAACCTGTTACAATCCATATTGGGCAGGCACAATAGCATATTGTCATAGCAAGAGGCAACGATTGGATCAAGGAAATGGCGCGGTTCGACGATTGAAGAAGCAATCTTGGCTCAACATGAGCACCTGGAGAACATGATTGCAAGGGCGCCGCCAACACTTCAAGCATCATTGAGAGCGAAGTTAAACATGCAAATTGGTGAAGAGAGTGGCAGATTTAATAAAGTGGGCGTGGAAAGTGTGAGATTGGAATCTTACACTATTGGTGCTCCCCCACTTCAACGTTTTGCCACTAACTCTTATTCCATTGGAGCCCCCGTAATGGACAGATCTCACCTTCTTGAAGTCAGCAACATACCTCCTCGTGCGCCTCGTCCACTAATGGGGGTGGATCCTGTATGGAGCGTGGAGCACACGGGACATGGGATGCAGTCAAATGGTGTTTTGCGACGTGATCGCGTGGATATGGTGGAACATCACTCCTACGGTCAAGACGATGAAACGCAACGCATGGCTGATCAAGGGCGCAAAGGCTCGCATACAAAAGAGAGTACCGGGACCAAGAATGCTGCAACTTCAAGCGGAGGGCAGCAAGCGACTAAGGGAGAGAAAATGAATGGCAATGTTGGAAAGGGCGGACGCTCATCTCTCATGTGCTGGTTTTGCAGGCAACTGGGCCACCCGTTCTACAAGTGTCACACGGCACCACCAGGATGGTCACCACCGGGGTGGGAACAACAAAACAGAAGGAGGACCAACCGACGTACCAGCAACAGCCGTTCGATCTCTCCTCGAAATGGTGGCAGCCCCATGACCAGACCTGGACGCTGCAGCAAACACCTGACCCGACGCAGCTACCTGACCAGACGCAGTGACTGGAGGAGACGCAGTGGTCAGGGTGTATAGGCTCGACCCCGGCCGACGGGTAAACGTGGCCAGGTGTCGGCCTGTCCGAGCGTCCGTGCAGTGGGTCACCCGCTGACTCGCAGGAGTGAACTGGTGAACCCCCGCATCCTGTAGGTCAGCACCACTCACCAAGTTCGTAGAGAACGAGGGGAGGTAAAGACCAGACAGGGTGCCAGAGGGGGCCGCCGGACACGGGAGGACAGTGGAGAAGTGAGCAAGGACAGGACCCCCAGAGGGGTCTGCAAGAGAGACTGCAACTGGCCGGCCAAGCGGCGTGAGTGTGGTGCGGTCTCGAAAGAAGGAGCGAGAAGCCCCCGAGTCAAGGGTGAAGGTGTGGGAGGCCGAAGCCGACGCAGAACCTGAGAGAGCAGACTCACCAGCACCTGAGGGAGCAGACGCACCTAGAGCAGCAGCCTCGCTAGCACCTAGAGCAGCAGCCTCACCAGTACCTAGAGCAGCAGTCTCAATGCCCGGGTCGGGCGGAAAACACCGGTAACAGTCACCCTCATCACTAATAGTCACAGTATACATGGCAGCAAGAATAGCATCAAAGTCAAGGTCAAAGACAGCTACACCCGCCCTAGACAGCTCACCCCAGCGGGGGATCTCAGTGGCCTCAGGGAACTGGTGACGCCAAGCGTCCGTCAGGCGGCCAAAGCAGCGCTGGGTGGAGTGCGCACCCCCGCACTGCTCACCCGCGCGGTCGCCGGTGCGTAGGACGTAGGTGCACGGACCAGTACCCCCACCCCGCTGGCGTGCAGCGTACCACTCACGGAGCTGCTGAGGGGGGGGGATGTCACGAGTGCGCTGCTGCTGCTGCTGCTGCTGCTGGCGCTGACCACCACCGGAGCCGACCCTCTGCGCAGCGCCACCCCGACCAGCTCCACCTCCTCCGCCGCCTCCTCCTCCACCGCCGCCACCTCCGCTCCCACCGCCACCGCCGCCGCCGCCTCCGCCTCCACTGCCGCCACCGACACCTCCACCCCCGCCACCACCCCCACCGCCACCCCCACCCCCTCCACCGCCTCCACCGCCGCCTCCACCGCCCCCGCTAGCTCCTCCAGTGCCCCTGCCCCCCTTGCCCTTGCCAGGGCGGCGTCTCCCGCTAGGGGTAGACGCCGCACCGACCGACTCAAGCCCAACGAGGTCGGCCGCAGCAGCAGAGGCAACAGAGGGCAAAAGGGGGGAGGGGGAACACCCCTCAAAGATGGGGGTGCGAGGGTCACCACGAGAGGCTCCTACAGCTACTATGCTCTTCTCTGCTGCTAGGAGGGACTTCTCGAGGAGGTCAACGGTGAGAGTGGTGGGGCAAACTGAGAGGAAGTGGTCCCTGACTACGCGAAGGGAGTCAGGGAGCCGGGTGACTATGTAGTAGAGGGTGATGTACATGGGGGGGGGGTTCTTGGCGCAGAACTCAGCAGGAAGCGCAGCGCGGTAGCGAGTGTCACTAGTGCGGAGGTGCGTAATGAGGTCAGCGACTGTGGGAAAGGCAGCAAGGTCAGGGAAGAGGTACGGTAGCATGAGGCGGCTCAGTGCAGCAGTGGCAGGGGAGGAGTAGCGCGCAACTACAGCGTCGTACAAGGTCTGAGCACTCTTGTACTGGCTAAAGTGCGCACGCTCAGAGGTAGGCAGGTGGCGACGCACAGCAAGACGTGCAGCAGCATCGCGAGTGGCCCACTGTGAGCGAACAGTGGCGTCGGCATCAGCAGCAGGGGCAGGCGAGGCACCAGAGGTGAGGTCAAAGAGGGAGAGACCGTCTGCCCTATCGCACTGTAGGAAAAGCTGCAGGTCATCTACCTAGACGTCAAAGTCAATGGCCCGACCCTCAGCGTCAAAAGCGAGGACACTAGGGGTAGCCATGACAGCAGTAGACTAGCAGCGCGAACAGTAGGGTAAGGGCAGTGCAGGGACAGAGGCGCTGCTCTTACCGGACAGGGCGACTCGGGTGGCTCGGCGGCTCGGCGGCTCGGCAACTCGGCGGCTCGGGCGGCTCGGGCGGCTCGGCGGTACGGCGGCTCGGCAGCAACAGCGGCTCGGCGACTCGGCGGCTCGGGCGGCTCGGGCGGTACGGCGGCTCGGCAGCACGGGCGGCTCAGGTGGGGCGGCGGCTCGAGCGGCTCGGGTGTATCGGGCAGCTCGGTGGCGCCGGCGGCTCGGTGGTGACGGCGGGGCCGCGTGGGGAGCGGCGGCGGGGCCGGGTGGAGCGGCGCCGGTAGGGCCGGGTGCAGTCAGCGGCGGCAGCAGCTGCGGCCCCGAGGGAGGTGGTGGCGGCTGCTGCTGGCGACGGCTGCGGCTGCTGCTGCAGGGACGGCGGCGGCCGCTGCGGCAGGGGCGGCGACAGCGGGCCGGAGGGGCGGCGACAGGGCCGTGAGAGGCCGCGAAGGGCGGCGAAGGGGCCGTGAAGGGCGACGCGAGGGGCCGCGGAGGGCGGCGACGGGCCGTGAAGGGGCGGCGCGAGGGGCCGCGGAGGGCGGCGACGGGCCGTAGGGGGCCGTGAGGGGCCGCGGGAGGGGCCGTAAGGGACGGCGCGAGGGGCCGTAAGGGGCCGCTAAGGGCGGCGCGAGGGGCCGACGGGCGGCGCGAGGGGCCGTAAGGGGCCGTAAGGGGCCGCGCGAGGGGCCGTAAGGGACGGCGCGAGGGGCCGTAAGGGGCCGCTAAGGGCGGCGCGAGGGGCCGACGGGCGGCGCGAGGGGCCGTAAGGGGCCGTAAGGGCGGCGAGAGGGGCCGTGAGAGGGGCCGCTAAGGGCGACGCGAAGGGGGGGCCGTGAGGGGCCGTGAGAGGGCGCGACGGTAGGAGCGAAGCGCGCTCCGGGCAGGGAAAAAAAAAATTCGTGGTGGGCCCTAGGAAGCGTTCCCACTAGGGAACCTGCTCGATACCATGAGAAGAAACGAGGAATGAGAATGACTAAGGGAAAGTTGGGTACAAAAGCAAACCCTAGAAAACTGTACCCCATATGTGCTACCCCACTATAGCCTACAGTAGCTATGTCATATAAATCTGACAGGCACGCTGCTGGCAATACGGGAACGCGTAGACCGGGTTCGGATTCGATGTGGGGGTAACTTCACGTTTAGTCAGGAAATGCTCGCAACGACCCTCGACGGAACCGATATTTTACTCGGGCGTGATTGGCTGCGACGACACAATCCGCGAATCGACTGGACG